TCAATCATCAACAATATTACTAATTCCCAAAACGGGTTTTTCCAAAATTCATAAATCACCCAAACTGGGTTTCAATAATATTCATAAATTCTAAGAAGCATTTCCTAAACATTATTCAAGTCATAAAATCCAAAATTCATAAAAGCAATAATACTCCAAGTTTATAGTCATAAAATCTAGAATTCATAAATGCGGAAGCATAACAATAATTAACTGGTCTTATGGACCGACCACCCCTCGCTCTACTCCGCCATCGTGTCTGCCTCGCTTAACCTGAAACGTGAATTTCAAGTGGGGATGAGCACAGTAGAAAAAGTAGTGCTCACCACTATGCAGTAAACATTAATCAAACAAATCAACAGTATGATCTCAGCATGAATAAGAATCAATTTAATATCCCAACCTCCTGTCATCATAATATCGTCATATGATCGTCATAATATCGTCATAAGATTGTCATAATATCGTCATAAGATCAAGACTCGTGTGCACACCTACGCATAGACTACTGCTGACTATATATCGAATGCCCTCCGGTCCTACATCGAGTGTCAGCCAGTAGGAGTAAACCACTACTGCTGACTATATATCGAATGCTCTCTGGTCCTACATCGAGTGCCAGCCAGTATGAGTACCACTACTGCTGACTATATATCGAATGCCTCGGGTCCTACATCGAGTGCCAGCCAGTAGGAGTAATCCACTACTGCCGGGTAAAATACCGAATGCCCCTCGGGCTTCTATAGGTGCCCCAAGTCAGTAGGAGTAAATCCTCAAGGGAGATTTTGTAATGCCCCGTTTGACTATGAAATTTTTGAGGATTATTATTATTATTATTATTATTATTATTATTTTTATTATTATTATTATTATTATTATTCGAATGCTAAATTATTAATTGTCGAATGTGATTTATTTGTCAAATTGCCTAAATGTTATTATTTAATTGAAAAATGTGTAATTGTATTTTTACTAATATTATCATTATTTTCTTAAAAGCTAAATTGTGTACTATCAATATATATTACACATGTTTGGTTGGTTTATCGTCACCAATCATCGCTGTACGTCGTCAAGGGCAGCGTCACTTTCCATTCGCGAGCAGCACTTTCGAGGCATTTCGGGTTCCATTCGTCGAGCCCGACCTTTCGAGTTCCTTTTGTCCGTTCAACTTTTTCGTTCGTTCGTGCCTTTCCCTAGCTCGTAAATTTCCCGAAGAGAGGTAATCATCGAGCCTCCTCGTTACATTTCGTATCCGTATATTTTTGTCGGATTTATCGTGGTTCATCGAATCGAGTTTTGTCAGCTTTCGGATTATTTTCGGTTTGTTCGTATTATTTTCGTTTCTCGTGAATTGCCGTGGATCATGTTGGAACTCTCGTGATATGAATCGATCTACTGTTGCTGTGATTATTCGTATTAATTAGGATTTTTCGTTTATTAATTTTGAGTCTCGTTTTATTGTTTCGGGCCTTGCCGTTGTCGTTTTCGAGATAAAACCTGATTTTCATAAAAATTGTCAATCTATGTAAATTGTGGTTTTTGTTGGATTTGTTGATTTCCCATAAACCGGTTGATGTGGAGAAGTAGTCGTGGGATTTTTGTCGAGTTTGTTCAACCTTCTGTACAGATTTTCCCAGCCCCTGTTCATTTTTCCTTTCTGTTTCAGTCGCAGGCCACGGTTTAAATTTTTAATAGTTCAAATGTTCCTTTAGTCGCAACCAAGCTAGACGGTACAGTGGTGTGTTATGCTATTTCCATGCCTTAGGTCCTGAGATCGAAACCCTCCACCAGCAGCCTTTTCATATTTTTTTTCCGCAGCCCAGGAGCCTTTGCATAAAACAGCGCGGGCCGTCCCAGCCCGCGCACGGCCCGCAATCCCCCTCAGTCCAGGCCCGCGAGCGGCCCATCACAGCCCGCATTCGGCCCGCTGGCCTTCAGCCCTAATGAACATTGGGCCAGCCCCTTTATGACCTAAATTCCAAACTCACCAAGCCCAACTTAGCAACAGCTGGTGTATAGTGGCCCAGTTGACCGTTTTGGCCTATATTGAGTTCCGGAAGCTCGTTTTAATACCGATTTTAATTTTAAAAATATTTTCAAAATGAGATAAATATAAGAAAAATTATTTTAAGTCCCGAGACTCTAATGTAGTCCTCCGAGTCCTATTTTTTTTCAATAATGTGAGAGTTCCAAGTTCACGAAAAATTCCGATAAAACTCCTTAATCATTATTTTGATTTAGTGTGAGTCTTTAATGGCTTTAAAAATCAAAATAATGTATTTATGAGATTATCTTGATTAAATGTAGGTGTTTGAGGAGTCGAGCCCTCGACCTACCGACTTGTTTGTGTACTTTTTCTACCGACTTAACCAGGTGGGTTTTATTTAAAAAATTTTCTATGCAATAAATGGTTTACTTTACTTGAGTATGATCAATGTGTGCTTACGAATCATGTAGCCTTCGATGTGAGCTATACCGGCCGTCGAACGGTTGTCCCATATTTATGAAAATAAACCCGAGAGGTTACTCCTACTGACCGGGCATCGATGGAAGCCCGTGGGGCGATTCGATGTGTAGGACCGGAGGGCATAGATGTAGAGCCCATGGGGCATTCGAAGCATGACCCGAGCGAGGGCCTTCGATACATCTACCGGCAGTAGTCTATTGGTATAGATGTGCACATGAGTCTGAACACTGTGGATTTACGATGAAACTTGGGATACTTGAATTGATTCATATACATGTTGTGATCGTACTTTCTCTGTTACCGTTTGATATGTAAATGTTTATTGCATAGTGGTGAGCACCTCGATTTCCTATTGTGCTCATCCCCACCTGCTCTTCATTGATGCAAGTTAGTAAGTGCGGGCACGACAGAAAGAGGCGAGTGGTGGTCATATTATTGTTGAATATTGCCGCTTTTTAAAACTGAGTAGTATGATTTATGCATTCCGAATTTATGTTGAGTACTGGTTTATTGATAGGGAGTGTACTCCCTAGTATTCATGGATTTGATGAACCCAATTTGGGAGTTGATGTCATTTATGAACCCGGTTGGGTGTTGACTATTTATGATTATTAAACTCGTTTGGGAGTTGCATTTATGATATTGTTAAAATTGTTTTTTTTTTGGAAATGAGTAGCGCCTCAAGTGTTTTGAAATAAATTTTGAAAAAATTTATTCTGATTTTCGACAAATAAAAGTGGGGCGTTACAGATTTCCCAATGGGTACATTCTATAGCTACGGGGATAACCGCTCGACGGCCAGTACAGCTCACATCGAAGGCTACATGTTCCACATGTATACTTTGATCATACCATAATTAAAACAGTAATAACATTTAAGGCATAGCAATTTTAGAATAACAACCCACCTGGTAACTCGGTAGAGAAGTAACACAAAATCGAGGGAAAAAGGTAGGCCGAGAACACAGCTCGTCAAACACCTACATTACACAAAATAATCCTATGAAAGACTATCCAACACACGAACACTTATAACCACACTCATGCGATATAACTCAACCACATTATTCATAATAACATGTTTGCACAACGAACTCGCATAGTCTCAGTATTTCCAATAACAGGAGTTACAAGTATGCTATTCAGGTGACTCTAAAACCAATGAGTAGCTAACACATATATCCACAACTTTCATGTTGATCACTTAAGCCAAAGATAGCTTTACAGTCGAGTTTAAGCATAAAACACGTAGGCCAAGCAATCTGCCAACATAACTATTTATCAATTTACAGCACTTCACTAAAACAACAATAACTCAAGTTACAGAACTCCTAATCATACAAACTCAAAACCTACAAAAACTACACAAGGAAAACTACAAGATTCAAGAAGAGTATTTTTACAAATAATAACGTTAAAGGCCTCATTTCAGAACATGCATTCCAATCATATACACAGCCACTGTTTTAAAAATTCTGGGCATAACCCCAACTTGGAAAAATCATATAAAATCAACCAAAACTCCAAATATCATGATTTCAACTCCCAGTTAAAGCTTATAATATGTACTACAAGTTTCATGATAATTACATCTTTAAATTGCCACATTAGGATCATCAAAAACAGCCCAACATCATGATCCACTAATCTGCCCGATATTACAAAAACTGCATGCATGTACAACTAAAAAAATTTGTAATAAATTCAAATCAACTCCGAATTTCGAAATTCCAAATCTCACCGAACCCTAACTCAACATACTACAATTCTCATGACGAACACTTAACCAGGAAACAGCTACTTCATTACGAAAAACTGAGCACAACCAGCAGCTTTAACTTGAAGTTTTTAAATCAATTTTCAACCCAAATCATACACTCATGAACATAGCATCGACAAGACACATATAATCACCACATATATCTCAAATACGCGCATACAAAACATAAGGAGGTCAGCCCTAACACGATTTTACCACAAGTTCACATGATATCACATGATTCGAACATAATTCACGATAAATCAATTAATACCTAACCCTGCATAAGCACTTCACAAGGGCTACAACGTAACAAATAATCGAATTCATATTCCTCTTCATTATTCAACTAATATTAAGCATGCCATTAGAACTTAACCAAACCTAGGTAAATCCCAGCTCATAATTTCAGCATCATAAGAACAAATATTAATTTCGAGGCCACAGCAAATTTCAAACATATCTAAGGCAACATTTTGTATTTCATGCTCAAATTCTAATAGTCTAATCATTTTTTATAAATGAACATTAAACACAAATTATCATGAACAACACCCTTGCACTTGCACTAACTGAATACAAATCAGCAGCCATAATTACAACTCAATAAAGTAAGCCCCAACACAACTCAACTAAAAGATTCAAGCATTCTGCTATGGCCAAAAAAAAAAAGGAAAAAGGTACAGCCAATATACCTCTCCCGATGATTTCACGGTCCGACAATAGCTCGTGAAAAAGACGAACAGAGGACGATGGCCCAGCCCTACCAAAATGCTCGTCGTTGCTGCTCGTGAGTCATCGGCTGCCCGCTGCCGGAAGACGAGCTGCTGCTACTCGGAAAAGAACCCGACGGGTCTCGGCACGTTACTGTTGATGGTTCGAGGTGGCTAAACGAGCACGAACAGGGGCTCGTCTCAGCCCGCGGCTGTTGCTCGAGGGTCTGTTACTCGAGGACACGCGGCTGAAGCTCCTCGACGGGGTGCTGCTGCGAACGATGGCTGGTCACGGCCCGTCGCTGGTCGAGGGTCGCTGGCGATGGTTGCCTTTGGTTGAAGGTCAGAGGTCGTTTCAGCCACTGTCGGAAGACAGAGCTAAACAAAGCTCGATAGTCGAGAGCTCGAAATCGCTGGACAATGGTCGGGGCTCGCAAACAGTCGCGGCCCGACGGGAATTGAGGCCCGAAGTTGCTGGAGGCCTGGCCTCGTCGGACGTTGGTCCCGTCGCTCGCGGTGGTTGTAGGCCTGTGGCGGAGCGGACTTCTGCGAATAGGACGAACCGTCGGGTTGTTGCTTGAAAACATCCACGGTCGTCTTTCCTTGGTGATGACGAAGGATGGACCACCGTTCTCGATGGGCTGCCATGGTGAATTGCCGGTGAAGGCGGCTACAGGCGGATTGCGAGGGTCAAAGGACTCGCTAGCGGCCTGCTACAGAAGGGAGTTTCCCGAGGAGATAACGGGATCGAGGCTCGACGTCGGTGGTTGGTGGCTCGCCGCTGGAAGCTCGCTGGCCGAAGGAATTCTCTGAGGGAGGTGGGTTTGCTGCTCAATCGAGAGGAGATGAGGTGAGGGTATGTGGGCTTCGATCGATTTTAAAGGGGATGGACTAAAATCTGTTGCAACTGCTCGAAACAATTGGGGTGAACTTCTCCCGTCGATGCTGCAGATTCGCGAGAGAGAGAGAGAGATACGGGGAGATTTGGGAAAGAACCGTTCAACAATTTTGCACGAGGAGATAGAGACAATGGGTCAAAATTAGTTCTTATGTGCTGGAAATTATATCTTCACTTGGGCCGAAGAGTGGATTCATTGGATCTAGATTCCAGCTCTTAATGCGGGCTGAATAAATTTCCAATAAATCGGCCAATCGATTTTTAAAATTTCAAGGTTCAAATAAAATACCAAAGAAATGGGTCCAAACGGATTAAAATCAATTTACGCGATTAAATCGAAAATTAGCGAAATAAATTTAAAATTTATTTCAAATAAGCTTTAAATAATTCTAATACACATAATGAATATAGAAACATATAATAATCACATATATTAGTCACATAACAATTTATATCAAGTAGACTAATAAGAGGAGCAAATTTATATCACAACCAAAAATTAAATAAAATAAGGCTATAATAATAATATAAAAATCCAGTAATTCTAACAAACAAACGGGGCGCTACAACATGTGCTGGGCAACCCCAAATCCGAATGTGGTTTAAACTGGGCTTGCGCCCGGACCACCATTCTATTGGAGTTTTTGGAACCGATTTAGAAGGCACGAAGTTAAGAAGGTACGTCGCCGTTTCCAAGGCGTATCCCCAAAACGAGGCAGGTAATGAAGCATAGCTCATCATTGATCTCACCATATCCAGCAGAGTCCTATTCCTTCTCTCTGCTACGCTGTTCTGTTGGGGAGTACCAGGCGCAGTCAGCTGGGATGTAATCCCATTCTCCAATAAGTGTTGCCTAAATTCATTGCTAAGGTATTCGCCACCACGATCCGATCGCAGTGACTTGATACTTTTCCCTTGACGGTTCTCCGCTTCTGCCTTGAATTGTCTGAACTTGTCAAAGCATTCAGACTTGCGGCGCATCAAGTAAATGTACCCATATCTCGAGTAATCGTCAATAAAAGTAACGAAATACTCAAAACCACCTCTAGCTTGAATAGACATAGGCCCATACAAATCAGAGTAAATCAATTCCAACACATCATTGGACCTATTCCCCTTGGCCTTAAAAGGCCTAGAAGTCATCTTGCCTTCCAAATAGGATTCGCAGACTGGAAATGGTTCAACTTGAAAAGAATCCAAGAACCCATGACCTACCAGCCTTTGGATCCTCCTTAGGTTGACATGACCCAACCTTAGGTGCTAAAGATATGTTTGATTCGACTGAGAAGGTTCCTTTCTCTTGTTTAGTGATGAAGATGCATGAGCCTCAGTCACAATATGATATGCACAAGTAATAGTATAAAGATTGTTAACCAACATGCCAGAACAGATAAAAGAGTTATTTTTCATAATAACAACATTGTCATTAAAAATAACTGAATATCCATCCAAAAACAACTTTGGAACTGAAATTAAATTCTTCCGAAAACTCGACACGTATAAAATGTTCTTTAATACAAAAACAGAATCAGAAAATGATAAGTGCACATCTCCCACTGCAACCACCGCCACTCGTGCAGCATTGCCCAAGCTGATGGTAATCTCGCCCTCACTGAGCTGCCTTCTTTGCAGGAACCCCTGCAAAGTATAACAAACATGATCAGTGGCTCTTGTATCTACTACCCAAGAACTGGTAGAACAAGCCGCAAAACATGTTTCGACAACTAAAGCAAGAGACATACCAGGAGTGTCCTTGAGGGGACAATTTGACTTCTAATATCCTGTCTTGTTGCACTTGAAGCACTTGCCTTTCGGCTTCTGCACGCCACCAGAAGGAGCTAAAGCTTTGCTCCCACTATTCCCACTGCTCCCACTGGCTCCACCACTCTTTTTCTGCACTTGCTTTTTCTTCTTCCCGCCTTTCGACGAAGAAGGTCCAGCTTGTATAGAAACATGAGTCTGTGGTCCCCTTCCCATAAGACCCTCCGCTGCAACCAAGTTCGTAAGAAGCTCGGCTAGAGCATAGCCCTTCTTGTTCATGATTGCATTCAGGCGGAAGTTCTCATAGGACTTTGGGAGCGAGTGCAGGATAATATCGATCTTGGCATCGCCATCAATATTTCCTCCGAGCACATCTATGTCATTCAGATATTCCATCATCTTGACAACATGCTCTCGCACAGAAGCTCCCTCCGTCATGACAGAAGACATAATCTTCCGCATAGCCTCAAATCGAGCAGCCCTATCTTGCTCACCAAAGAGTTCCTTGAGGCTCAACATCATGTCAGCAGCAGTAGGCATGGTGTGAAGCTGCTGTTGCAAAACATTTGACATAGATACTAAGATGTAGCTACTAGCCATCTCATCAGCCTTATGCCACTTCCGATGAGCCTCCCTTTCCTCTTCGGTAGGAGCGGCACCCAAAGGAGCAGGAGCAGGCGTGGTGAGCACAAACTTGTACTCATCAGCAACAAGGACAATATCCAGATTCCTCTTCCAGTCCAAATAATTTGGACCAGTAAGCTTGCTTTGATTGAGAATGGTCATAAGCGGGTTGAATGACATGATGAATAACTGAAATAAATAATTGCAAACACGTAAGCAATAATTCACATAAATTTGAAGCATAAAATATGGAAACCTTCAAAACCATTATTCAACGCATCCTTCGACAACTTAAACAAACACACATGCAAGCCACGTTAGGGTGGATGTTTACACATATGTCCATCAAGCAGACACCCAGTCATTAATCTCAATTGCACGTCAACCTGTCCTTATGGCGAATGAAATTAATAGTCGAAATTTCAACACTGGCCATGTGAATGAAAAAAGGGACTCCGTTGGGGAGTTATATTAAAATTCACATCTAAGTGATGACCACAATTTAACCCCAAGAACAATCATCCACAATTGATGAACTTACCGATGGGGAAGACACATCGCTTGTAAATAATTTTCTGCGGTTATCTCGAAATAATCTTTACCGGTGAACTTATGAATGACACTATCCGTTAGGGAGGAGACCCCATGGGTCACGCGTATGCCACTCACTTCACCTAAAGATCAAGTCGTTTGAATAGAAGTCTTATCTAGTAAGCTCGTGAATGTGGCATCCGTTAGGGGGAGACTCCCAAGGTCCCGTGTAACACCCCGCTCATCAGAGTAAATTTTTCGCAACTTTTACTTCGAAAATACTTATAACTCTTTCAAAATCTTTTGCGACTAACTCAGGATACTACTCAAACTCATCTTTTCTGAAAATCCGTTTATCTTTAAACTTTGTCTAATACTTCTTTAGACATAAAGAAAACAGATTTATTTAAACTTGAAATGATAAAAACTTCAAATCTGAAATGATAAAAACTTGAAATGCAAGTTCAAGTCTTAATATGCGTAGCGGAAATACTTAAAAATGTGATTTATACAGACATTCAAATCCATAATAAATGTCCACTGAAGTAAGTGCACGACCACCACCACCACTTCTTAAGCTCACACCTCCGGCCCGACCCTGTTACCTGAAAAACACAATGGGGGTGAGTACTGATCCTCTTGTACCTCGAAAACACCCATACTAAAGTAAACAACAATAATAATACAATATCATGATCTTTGGTATATATATCTGGACTAAAAATCTGTTTCAGTTAATGAAACTTTACTCTTTCTCTTTCCGATATCTGATCGGATACTTGTGCACAATCTGATGGATATTTCTTAAGGCAACTTGGGGCCTCCATCAGAACTTAGGATGTACTTGTAAGGAAACTTGGGGCCTTCATCCCAAGCGTAAAAACTTAAACTTTATACATACCTCAGACATGATATCAATATTATACTCAATGTAATACCCAGGCTGGGTCCCCACCTTTCTTTTGAAAACATTTGAAAAATGTAAGTGTTGCTCTTAGGTAGCTAACTCCTCAAGCTACATAAAAATATAAACAAATATACTAAGTACTATGCTCGTATACTCAATAAGATACTGGGATTCTTAACTCTAACTGATAACTTATTCAAATCTTAAAGAAATTCAATAAGCATGCTATTGCTCAAATGAATACTAAATTTAACTTTTCTTGTACTTTTACTCAAGGTCAATTACTTAACCCATATAAATCATGTCTTCAAAATCATAGATGTTGGCTTAAACTCGCATGTCACTTAAATAACTCGAGTGTGCAAATAACTAAATTTCACATTATACTTGATTGAGTACATGAACTCAAAACATGCTTAACTTTTTCCAACATCATATTCATGATTTATAAAAATTTATAAACTATTAAATTCATCTTAAACATAAAATTTCAACTTAATACTTATACAATTCAACTTTTAATCATAACATTAAATTATGATCTTAATATGCGAGATTTAACACAATCTTTATAAAATTGTGTTCTCAACATATTAAACTAAAACTTTATCAAATTGTTCATCACTTATATGAGAATATTTCGTAATAATCTCACTTTAAAATCTTGAACATATAATGAATATTCTTGCATATATAATCATCTTTACATATATGCCGTCTAAATATCTTAACTCATTCATTTCTCAACTTTAAATCATGAAATTTAGCAGTCATGTTCTTAACTCATATTTAGACATGTCATAAAAATTTCATAATTTTATCATTCATATATCTCGACTTATTCAAGTTTAAAGTTGTTGCTGGAAACAAGTACATAAAATTCAGCTTGCATGATAAACTTTAAAAATTCATATCTTGAGTTATACTAAACTAAATGACTTGATTCTTGATCCTATGTACTCCTCTTTTACACAAAAAATAACCATAGGAAGCATAGATTTCCAGATTTTTTAGCTAGGTAAAAATCTCATCATAACTGAACACATATGACATATATATGAGCTGGAAATAACTTATCTTCTAGCATGTTTA